CGTCCGGGACCGGGGTGGGGTCATAATCTCGTCTGCAAGCTTTACAAGGCTGAGAAGGACTCCTGTCTCGTCTGCGTCGAGTTCTGGATCTGTCACGCTCATCCCGGCGTGACATGATGAATCAGCGAACCCAGCAGGTGTACCAGCTCAAACTTGAGAAAACTGAGTCAAACAAGATGCAAGTCAACTCACGGTCATGGCAAGCTCACAACACACACCATCAGCAACGGTGAGACGTAGCTATGATCATATGGCTGTCTTCCCTGTAGTGAAACCTCGTTCCTGCTTAAACGTGAAATTCCGCTGGACTATGATCAGAACGTCGAGGTCAAATTTTCCGGCGAACCGGCCCGGGGTCACACGATGGGTACACGCAAGGTTCCCCCAAGATGGGGTAATCGCACTTCAACTCCCAAGGGAGGATGCTAATCGTTCGAGTACAACTGATGAGTCTCGAGTACAACTGATGAGTCTCGAGTGGGATAAGTTTCGGCTCGCGATACACTTGGCTTCCCTCTAGTTACTTCAACAGGGAACCAAAAAGCAACGGCGGTTCAGGGGGGGACCAAAAGGACATTCAGAACAACACTACCATCTCGGCAGGTACGTCTGGCTGATCAGGCCAGATATCAGCGCAGGTCACGACCCTCTTCGTTGGGTCACCAGTCGTGACTGCGGGTGACCCCCCTGCTGACGAATAACGGTTGATGGCAGGGTATTCTGCCACTCCGCACACACACACAGACACACAGACACACAGACACACAGACACACAGACACACAGACACACAGACACACAGTCACACAGACACACAGACACACAGACACACAGACACACAGACACACAGACACACAGACACACAGACACACAGACACACAGACACACAGACACACAGACACACAGACACACAGACACACAGACACACAGACACACAGACACACACACACACAGACACACACACACAGACACACAGACACACACACACAGACACAAACACACAGACACACACACAGACACACACACAGACACACACACACACAGACACACACACACCCACACCCACACCCACACCCACACCCACACCCACACCCGCACGCACACGCACACGCGCATGCACACGCACACGCACACGCACGCGCACGCAGGCGCACGCGCACGCACGCGCACACGCGCACGCGCACGCACACGCACACGCACACGCACACGCGCACACACACGCACACGCACACGCACACGCACACGCGCACGCACGCGCACACGCACACGCACACGCGCACGCGCACGCACATGCAGACGCACACAAAAACACACAAGCACACAAGCACACAAACACACAAACACACAAACACACAAACACACAAACACACAAACACACAAACACACAAACACACAAAGACACAAACACACAAGCACACAAGCACACACACAAACACACAAACACACAAACACACAAACACACACAAACACACACACAAACGCACAAACACACAAACACACAAACGCGCACACACACAACACACACAAACACGCAGACACACAAACACACAAACGCACAAACACACACAGAAACACACACAAACAGATACACACACACGCACAGACACACACACACACACAAACACACCCACCACGCACGCACGCACGGCACGGCACGGCGCGGCACGGCACGGCACGGCGCGGCACGGCACGGCACGGCACGGCACGGCGCGGCACGGCACAGCACAGCACAGCAAAGCACAGCACAGCGCAACACAACACAGCACACAACACAACACACAACACACAACACACAACACACAATACACACACACACAACACACAACACATCACACACAACACGCAACACACAACACACAACACACAACACACAACACACAACACAACAGACAACACACAACACACAACACACAACACACAACGCACAACACACAACACACACCACACAACACACAACACACAACACACAACACACAACACAACACACACAGCACACACACACAACACACACAACACACACACAGCACACACAACACACAACACACACAACACACAACACAACACAACACAACACAACACAACACAACACAACACAACACAACACAACACAACACAACACAACACAACACAAAACAACACAACACAACACAAAACAACACAACACAACACAACACAACACAACACAACACAACACAACACAACACAACACAACACAACACAACACAACACAACACAACACAACACAACACAACACAACACAACACAACGCAACGCAACACAACACAACACAACACAACACAACACAACACAACACAACACAACACAACACGCACGCACGCACGCACGCACGCACGCACGCACGCACGCACGCACGAAAGCAAGCGCCGCGCCGCACCGCACCGCACCGCACCGCACCGCACCGCACCGCGCCGCACAGCGCAGCGCACCACCACCCAAGTCAACACAATGCAACACAGCACAACACAACACAACGCCACACCACTCCACAGCACACAACACCACACCACACCACACCACACCACACCACACACACACGCAGCACACACAACCCTCGCAACACACACAACGCACACGACACACACACAGCACACAACACACAACACACAACACACAACACACACGGCACACAAACACACAACACACAACACACACAGAGCACACACAACGCACAACACGCAACACGCACAGACAACACACACAACACACACAACACACACAACACACACACACAACACACACAACACACACAACACACACAACACACACACAACACACACACACACACTACACACCCAACACACGACACACAACACACAACACACAACACACAACACACAACACACACACACAGCACACAACACACAACACACACAGCACACACAACACACACAACACACACACAACACACACAACACCCAAAAACACACAACACACACACCACACACACACCACACACAACACACACAGCACACACACAACACACAAAACACACAAAACACACAACACACACAACACACACACACGCAACACACACACAACACACACACAAAACACACACAACAGACACACAACACACACACAACACACACACACACCCACACCCACACCAACACCCACACCCACACCCACACCCACACACAACAGCACGCACACGCGCGCCCGCACCCATGCCCACACGCACGCACACACACACACACATACACCCACGAACAAACGCATATGCGCGCACGCACACGCACACGCACCCGCACCCGCACCCGCACACGCACACCCACACGCATTCGCACACGCGCACGCACACGCGCACGCACACACATTCTCTCACACTCTAACACACACACAACCACCCACCCACCCACTCACCCACCCACCCCACGCACCCACCCACGCACCCACCCACCCGCCCACCCACCCACCCACGCACCCAC